AGTGAAAAGGAACCTTTGAGTGCTGTAGAATTTTTTAAATATCACCCTCAACTTTAATCAAGTGGAAACCATTTCAATAAGTTGATTCTGTCTGTTTTACTTGCCTTTCATAACTTGTAGCTGTTGAGGATGGGGTGCATAAATACTCCTTTTCTGAATTTTAACCTTTATTCCAATGTTTCCCATCAGCTGAGATAGCCATATCATGATAGATAGTCTTCTTCCTATTTAAAAATGTATAAATTAATTATTAACAGATTTCCACCAAAGCTTGTGATAATTCCACTATTTAATTGCTTTGGCACTCAGTGAATTGGTGAATTACCTGGTTTCCAAAAGTAATACATTTTTTATTTAGCACAGCCATCTCCTTACTCTCCCAGGCTGGTGTGCTAAATTGAAAATCCTCTCCCACAAGCCTAATTTTCAAGCTCTTTTCCTCAATAACTTGGTTATGCAATATGGTTTTACTATAAGTCTCAAAAAATTCTGTGCCTTTTCTCCTGAGTGAATAAATACAAAACGGAAAATACAGAACATATCTAAACTTCTTGGCTCTTTTAAAATTCCTTATAATGCATGAGATAAATGAATGAAAATCCAACAGAATCATAACCACCATGCATTGTGGCTAATGTGGCATTACATTTCAATGTTTCTTTCCTTTTACTTCATCTGGTAATTTGTCTTTCACAACATAAAATTCAGTTTCTTTGACCAGAACTTTTTCAAATGAGTGTTTGATAACAATTTTCTAACTAGAACTTTTCGTAGACTGACTTACTCATCCAATTGGGTCTAACAAAACGATAAAGTTCACTGGCTGAGATTCTGAACTTGCATCCATTGTTTTTATATAAGAACAAATAGAATTCTTGGACATCAAAATAAATTACAATAACTTATACACAATATTTGGCACATGAAAAGGTCAACTTTTGAATTGAAGTAGTTTCACCGTTGAACTGTATACGTAGACCACTGAACTTAATTCTTGCCTTGACAAAAATTACGTGTCACCCTCACACTCATTTTTCAAATGAATACTCCTTTCACAGGCACTAAACAAGCCCTACCGGCTAAGATTGACCTAATATTATGGACTCAACAAGAAAAGGTCACGACCCCGTTAAGAGTTTCTTATTTTTCCAATTGCTCATTGAATAAGAAGTTTGGAGCCAAATCATACCGCAAACAATGCGTATTGATAGTTGCTTGGTCACGTCCGTTACGCATTTACTTATTGACATTATTTTTAATTTTTAATCCAAGAAAAAGGCTAACTTCGGAACGAACGAACATGATAGATTTAAAAATCGACCTTTTGATGCACTTGGTTAAAGGAGTTGATTCGCTTCGTGTCCTAGAAAAGTTCTGCGTTTAAGCTAGGCCAGAGTTCAAAATCAAGGTAAATTAAAACCGTATTCTCGTTAACAAGCGAACTCGGTTCATAGTAAGATATGGATCATCTTTACTTTCGGAACGTAGTAACACTGATTTTACAGGGAATTTTATACGGAAAACTTTCCTAAGTCCTCAAGGGAGCTGCGTTCGATTTTGATGCATCTCAAGACTCTAGTAAACAAGCTTGAATGGAAATAGTTATTGAATAATGCAACACTGTGGCCAAATTAATTCAAACATGGAATTGTTTCGCGTAATTTCGCTCAAAACCCTTCCTGCCATTGGAGGGTAATCAAAACCTTTGCTAGGCATGTACGATATTGTAAAAGGGCTACGTGGCACTAGCTTACTTGTAACATAAGTTGAACTGTGAACTTGTACAATTTAGCTGAATTTAGACACGTACTTACCTGGCTCTCGACTCTTTCATTGTGCACGAAGTATCAACCGGTATCATTTCAAAAGCATAGATGTGTCATCATGTCACAGACATGGATTGTTTACGCGATGTATTCCATTCCATTCCCGTTAAGCAACTTCCAAAACGACTGCCATTCTCGACAAACGCGTGCCATTGAGGCTGTAGGCGGACCTCTGGCTTCTTTTCAGAGCTGTCACACCAAGTTGGCACACGCTGTGCTTGTTAAAAATTAAAAGGAAAAATACATCAGAGAGAAAAAAAGGCGTGCGCGGAGTCCGTTAATCAAAGATGTAAATTACGACCTTGATGGCAACGACTCAAGAAACGGTTTGAGTAGTTTTAAATTGTGTGATATTCCCGCAAAGTTTGTGGAAAAGTTCTGTTTTTTATCAAAGTTTGACTGTTGTTGTGGTCTGATTCGTTTGAAGACAACGGCTCTATTGTCTGTTAACCTCAAGGACCTTTCATGGGATAGTTCAATCTCGAACCCAGGGTTATCTTGGCTTCTTGTCAGCGGTATGGTCGCTTAAAAATGACCTCAGGGAGAGTGAATCAATCAATTTTTGGATTGGTTGATAGGAAGAACGATGGACTCCACACAGAAAGTGTGATTTTCAGAAGGGATCGATCGATGTTTTAACTATTGGGTTTTTTTTTGTTTTTGTTTTTGCCTAAAAGTTTTCAATTGTAAACTTCCTGTCGATGCGTGGGAAACATCCAACCAAAGCCGCTGCATGCTGCAATGGCGAGAAGATGTTTTTCATAGAACGATGGATTGCTGTTGTTCCTGCCAAAGACGTACAAGTAGAAATAAATCATTTTATTAAGTTGTTTGGAGTAAAAAGCAGAAAAGAAGGCATTGAAGAGGCCGTGCAAGCGATCGGATATGTAATTGTAGAAAAGTACAATATCAGAATAGCATAAAATAAAAAATTAAAAAAAAAAAATTGTCAGGCATGCTCGCTACAATCTTGTATTCAATATCAAAGAAGAAATCGAGAAGTTTTCCTTGACATGCAAAGAAGATCGCGAAGAAAGGGTTCTGTATTTGAAAACACGGAAATGAGGTCTGTCGCCATTCAAAGCCCTTCTCAGGCCACAGTTTCACTATCTGCTTTGCATCAAGAAAACCGTTATAAAAATCCATTATACCCACGTCCAAGGTACTCCGAGAAGACACTTCAGATGTTAAAACAGAGGTTTTCCTTTCATATTTATATATGAATCTCGGCTTGTGATACATTAAATTGTCCCTTTTTTACCGCCTATACCTTTACTTAAATTGGCAGAGAACTTTAATTTCCAAGTGGGCGCCGCAGCAGTCTGCTCTTGTTAATGTATTATTTTATAATTTAAAAGAATATCTTTTATGTTCCTTAA